TCTCTCCGCTCTCTTTCTGGTCTCTCTGGGGTACAAATCAGACTTTATACATGTGCTCCTGTTTACACATACAATCTGTGAGTGTGTCCATATATACAGTGCCTTGCGAAAGTATTCGGCCCCCTTGAACCTTTCAACATTTCGCCACATTTCAGGCTTCAAACATAAAGATATAAAAATTAAATGTTTTGTCAAGAATCAACAACCGCCCAGAGCAATGTAAACGGCCCAGTCTCGTTCACGCCCCCTTTAGTCCTCCAGGCTACGCCCATTTAGAGGCTGAGGTCCTTCGGAGTGAGCAGGCCTCTGCTCAGGACTTTTTTTTTTTGACTCTGTGGTAGCCTCGGCCATATACTACGCTGCTGTGCCCTGGGCAGCACAGAGCAGGACAGGAGCAGACTGAACAAGTGGGTCAGGAGGGCCAGCTCCACTCTGGGCTGCTCCCTGGACTCTGTGGAGGAGGTGAGGGACAGGAGGTGCTCGTCAAAGCCACCTCCATCATGAACAACACCTCCCACTGCACAGAACTGTAGAGGAGCTGAGGAGCTCCTTCAGTGGAAGACTGAGGCACCCTCAGTGTAGGAACGAGCGCTACCGCAGGGCCTTTATCCCCACTGCTGTCAGACTGTACAACAAGTCACTTGCACTAGGACTGAAAAAACCTGCACTACTATTGACACTGTTTCTTGATTCCCACTTTTTAATTGTACATAATATATTCTGCATTTAACATGTTTGCATATTTCTTTCTTTTTGCACAAATCTTGAGTGTTTCTATCCATGCCAGATGTGACATGTACATTTCTCCTTTGTGAGATCAATAAAGTATATCTTATCTTATTGTAGGCTGAGGCAACATCAAATGATCAGATGCCTATAGCAGACAGTCAGTGTGATCCCTGGCGCTGCTTAGCTTGAGCTCTGTGATCTGGGGCTTGTAGTTAGTTACTTTGAGTTACAAACATGCCTCAGAGTGCTCCGTTGTGAACTGCGGGTGGGGCTTCTCGTCCTCAAAGTATGGATATTGTTTTTGCCCTTTTCATTCAGAAAGGCCTTGATAGCATCAAAGCAGCTGACAAATCGCTCCAGAACTTTTCCACAATTCGGCCATCTCACCTCTGACTGGAGTTCATTTGAAATTCTAAATCTGATAGAAGTAATTGTCAATCTTTTTTTTTAATTGAATTTCACAATGTCTTGAATTTTAGTGTTGAAAATAAACATATTGTAAAGGCAAATGTCATTTTAAAATTTTAATCACATCAAAATCTGCAAACTGATTTATTTTTTATTTTTTTGCGACTGAATGTCAAAGACAAAAAATCAAATCTGCCATATACTGTATAACCTTATATAAAATGAGAAATAAGGTATTTGAGAGTATTTTGTTCAATCCCAATATGGTTGTGACTTAAATTTGTTGTATGGCTCTGTAGATGCAGTCTAAATGTGCTTGTAGTGTTATTGTTTAACTACACACAACTTAATGAAGACAATCTGACATTATTTTCATGGACTCCCAGCTCAACACAACCATGAGAATTAAAACTGGTACAATTCACTCATCACCTCTCCCCTGGCTCCCTGTTCTATCAAACACTGCACCTCCACACATCCGGCAAACAGCAGCGACTCAAAGGATGCTCCAAAAGGTTGTAGACTCCCCCCACGACCAATCCACAAAGAAATCTCCAACCCTGCTCGGCTCCCATCCAGACGCCCCATCTGGAAGAACCCCCCCCCCTCGGCTGACTTCACCGTCCAATCAGAGTGGAAAAGGGAGTGGGCGTCCAAGGAGGTCCCCAACAAACACCTGGTGCCAGAGCCTTCCCAACAGGTCCCTGGCACCGACCTAACAAAGAGACAATGGTCCTCCATCAACAGGTTCAGGACATTGAGGCAACTGACTGCAGGACTTTGTATTCGCTAAATGAGTTTGACTCTCCTGATCTACTTTAATGATGTAGGTTTACTTCAGTTCAAGTTTGGGTTGAAAACTAGTCTGGTTGTGTTTCGTCCTGGTGACTAATAATATAATATCTGTCTTTTTTCTGTGTTTGTTGCAGATCTACAAAGTCCATCTACAGAATGGGGGTCACCTGTGATCAGTGTGGAAAGACCTGCGTCTCTGCTTCTGCACTAAAGACCCACTACCGAACTCACACTGGAGAAAAACCATACGTGTGTGATCTGTGTGGAACTGGTTTTACTACAAAAGAACGTCTCAAGACCCACAGCAGAATCCACACTGGAGAAAAGCCCTTCAGCTGTGACGTTTGTGATCAGAGTTTTAGACGAGAGGATACTCTCAAAATTCATCAGAGGATCCACACAGGAGAGAAACCATTTGAGTGTGACGAGTGTGGAAAAACATTCAAGAGTAAAGACCAGCTCTCACAACATCAGCATGTCCACACAGGAGAGGGACCTCACCAATGTGACCAGTGTGGAAAGACTTTTACACAATTATCTCACCTCACTGTGCACTACAGAATCCACACTGGAGAAAAGCCATTCGTCTGTGGAGAATGTGGGAAGGAGTTCACTAAGTTTTCAAACTACAAAAGTCATGAGAGAATTCACACTGGAGAAAAACCATTTGCATGTGACCTCTGCAGTAAAACTTTTAGAACTGCAGCACATCGCACAGTTCACCATAGGAGCCACACTGGAGAGAAGCCGTACAAGTGTGATCTGTGTGGAACATGTTTTTCTACAAGCGGAGGTCTCAAGACCCACAGCAGAATCCACACTGGAGAAAAACCCTTCAGCTGTGACGTTTGTGATCAGAGTTTTTCTCGAAGTGGTCATCTCAAAAAACATAAGAGGATCCACACTGGAGAGAAACCATTTGTCTGTAAAAAGTGTGGAAAGTCCTTTACTCATAGCTCATCTCTTCATAAACACAATAAAACCTGTAGAGAAGCAGGTGTGAAGACGCAGCATCTGGAACAAAGTGAAGGAGACAGAGCTGAGGCTGCATCATGTGAACCCAGAGTCAGACTCTACAGGATCACACTTCAGTCTTAACCCTGTGCTGCAGCTGCTGAGCTTTACAGACCAAACACTTATTGTGGATTTGAACATCTTTACTTTGTGTCTGGAGACTCGGATACATCATGTTTTTGTCTGAAAGGAAAATCTTATGGTTCCTTTAAAGCTGCATCAAGTCTAAGATTCAAACTGACATGTGATGAAGAAGGAGACAGAGTGGGACATTATTATTCTGAACTAAACTGCAGATAAAAACTATTGAAGCATATTTACAAATTCAATGTGTTTGTACAAATGTATTTGTGTTTCCAAGTGGTGGGCTCTAAATGGAGAAAGAAGTAAAAAGCTGCAGCCTCCCCATGAACATACAGAGCATATATATTAAACATGTGTTTCTTCTGCCGCTTTAGGACAAAGGATGCATTTTAGCTTTTGTGCTAATTCCAGCATCTTGATGTTGAAGCTGTTTCTGACACATTCATATGTACTGCCCTCATTCAAAGAAATGAACTGATGAATACAAATATGTCGTCTGTTTGGGACCATGAAGGAAGATCAAAGGAGGAAAACTAGTCCAGACAATAATGCAAGTTCAGTTGTTTGTCCGGTTGTTCAGGGAAGAAGGGCGGCGAGGGTGAGCATGAAGCCTATCCCCAAATCTTCTCCAGCAGAGAATCCACTGAAGCAGAGGAAGCAGCCTGATAAATGCAGTAGAATCATTGTTTTCTGGATCTAAACATTCAACAACATCAGATATTGGTCGATGAGCAGAATGGATTTAGGAAGAACAGAGCATTGAGCACATCTATGTTCTGTCCTCTGTGGTGCGAGCCAGACTGCAGCAAAACTAAACTACTTTGTTTTGATGATTGAAGCCTTTGATTGGATAAACAGTTTCTGGAATAGAAGTGAATTAAATGTAGCATTACTGGATATTTGTATAAATGTATAAAATCCCTTCACAAGGCTCTGTTCGCCTGTGAGCAGTGAATGATCTGAGGCTGTTTGTCTTCTCTCCAACTTTATCTGCAATTTATGTGAATGATTTAGCTCCAGAAATGAAGAATGCAAACCTGCGTTTAACTATTGATGGTTTTAATCTCAGTATTTTATTGTTCGCTGCAGATATTGTGTTAATTTCAGGTTAATTACTGTGAAATGATGTCACTTGTTATGTAACATGTATGTTGCTATGGATACACATGTGTCACCAGTTACATTACTATGAGTAAGACCAAGTACCAGAAAAGGAAGAGTCCAGACTGAAACTGTGAGGATGTGTGAGTGGGTCAAATGTTTAGAAATGTGTTTATGAAAGTATAAAGGTATAAAGTGTCACATGTGTTTTACATGTGTTGTTTTGGGCCCCGCCTATAAGCTCCTGCAGCATCCTGGGAGTTCCCTTTTCCAAAGCACTTCCAAACCTTAGACATTAGTGTGTGTGGGACTTGTTGAAGTTTTGTAAATAAAGAGAATTGAAGTGAACACATGGTTGTCACGTGGGCATCTTAGTGTCACTAATACAAGTGCATTTATGATGTATGTCATGATTCTCCACAGAACAGTGTTTTATATGAACAGCTCTAACAATAAACAGTGAAAGCTCACAGCAGGAGAGCTCACACTGAAACAGTCACACGGCGCCATCTGTCGGCTGTCTCCAGAACTGCACCATTAAATACATCTGCACAACTGAAGCTTCGTTTTTGTTCCAGCTCGTGTTGGGGTAGATGCAAATGAGGTTGTGGATAGTGTTGCAAAAATTTCCCCGCAGAACAACAATGCAGAGGTGGTGGTGGCGTTTGGTGTGTATGAGCATCATACTATAATTAAAATGAGAGTGTGTGAGCAGTGGCAGGAGCATGGGACAGGGATACAAGGGGAAGGCACTTTTACAGCATCCAGCAGAGGAACAACAGGACAGAGCAGGTTATGATAACCAGGATGAGACTGGGTCACTGTGGGCTTGCTCAATGCCTGTTTCGGATCAGGAAGCACAGAGATGGTCAGTGTGAAGAGTGTAGCACATGTCTTTCTTTAGCATCTTTTTCTGCAGCCATCCGCTGTTCCTGCTGTTTCCGGTTTTCCTCAATAGCCTTCCGCAGGTCGAGTTCTCTCTGCTCCTTCTCTCTCACAGCCCTCTCCAGCTCACGCTGCAGTGCCTCCTTCTCAAGTCTTTCCCTCTCAGCCTGTCTTTCTCGTACTCGCTGGAGCTCAGCCAGTCTCTGCGCCTCCTCCTCCATCGCCTTCTTAGCCAACAGCTCTTGCTGCCGCTTCTCCTCCTCCTGCCGCTTCTCCTCCTCATGTAACGGTGAGCAAGAGACAGTGAAGCACGTTCTCATACACTGTAAGAAGTGCGGACCAGAGAAGACTGCTTTTCTCTCGTGTTCTTCACCTGGGACTAGAACGTGTGACTTTAAGATCCTTGCTTGCTCCCATGAGCAGCAGCAAGAGTGATGGCACTGGGCTTTTTACCTAGTGATGGGTCGTGCCGCGTCGGGGCGTGAGCCGAGAAATCCCTGAAGTTTTTATCGGAGCGCGGGCCGAAGCCTGAGTTGTTTTAGATGAATGACGTCACCAATGACGTTTGAAGCCTCGGGAGCACAGGAAATGGAGCGATTCATGAAGTACTGCAGAGGATCCGCTCAAACTGTGTGTTTGTCTTGGTAATTAATGTAGTCAGTGATGGAGAGTACTGTAGTATCAGCTGGTTGGCTCATTGATAGGGAAGCAGGGCTTGGACCTGGGGGACCGGGGATCGAATCTCACAGGGAGCACGTTGACATGAAAGAATTTTGTCAGAAATGTTTTGGTTTTAAACAACTGATGGGGTCACAATTCCAATTGATATCCCCATTTGTCTCACGTCCTTTGAAAAGCACTTACACTTTCAACATGTTTTGTTTTTTGTCCTATTGGATTTATAACATTGATTTTGACTTGACAAGCTATAATCATTCATCATTAAATATGTATATAAATATATATCTACATATATATATGTGTGTGTGTGTGTGTGTGTGTGTGTGTGTGTATTAGAGCAGACAACTGTACCAGTTACCAGTACATTATAATTTTCATTATTCATTTTCACTACTGATATTGATCATAATGAAACAGATTAATTAATGGGTCATACACAATCAAATTATTTCTGTTACCAGTATTAATTCCTATGCACCAAGAGCCTCACTAACAGTTCAATTGTCAATACAGATTTTGACCAACAGGAGGTTTGTGAGCATATGAAGCATCAAGAAATGAACCTTTTCTCGAACCAATGGATGAAAAGGTTCAACACTTCATGAAGCTTCATCAACCCATCACTAGCTTTACCTAAGAATGTGAGTGGACTTAAGGTGCAGTAATTGGGTCCACCAGTGATAGGCAGCAATGCACCGACTGGCGCGCAGCCGGAAATGCACAAGAAGAAGAAGAGGCTTCGTTTGTGGAGGGGACGTGATCCGCAGCTTTGGAAACACTTTGATCTTTGTGCTTCATAAAGTCAGCAGCTGATTGGAGCAGAGGGAACATCTGCATGATCCCCGTGTAGAGCTCCTTCTACCACCGCAGCTGCTCCTGCTCCGTGCGATCGGTGAGTGTGTGTTATGCTAGTGCTGTTAGCGTTAGCATTAGCCACAGGCCGCTAGCATCTTTTACTGTCTGTTCAATGAAAATGTATTCGTTTGTTAACTTGAACCGTATCATTAACAGAATTCTTGGAGCACATTCACCTCGTGTTTATATTGTTGTCTTTTTATCTGGGATGTTTGTCCCTTATTTTAGAAAGTCCAAGGTAAAGTGCCTCTCGAGGACAGGAACGTCTATTCTATGCATTTGTTTTGACAATAGAACAAAACTATCGTAGGTAGAATTAGTGTGATTGAGGGGTTTGCACAAATGATCTTTAGGGAAACGAGCAGAAGAAGAAGCAGGACGAGAGCAGAGCTAGTATCTGTTTCCTAAGTCGGACACTTCGGGCTTAAAAAAGGCACCGGTTACCCACTTCAACGGGCTATAAAAACATAAACTAAACTATTTCTCGAACGTTACTAGCATAAAACGGAAGTTAAAAGTGTTAGCTTTCGAACGATATATATGAATAATACCTTATTTAAATGTGGTTTTCTATATGCTGTTGAAAAGACCAAAAACATCGATGTTTTGGCTGGAACTATTATCCTGAGTCTCCTCAGTTCCAGAGTTTGTACAGATTCCACTCGAATAGATCCGTGGTTCCATCGCTCTCTCACGGCTCCGCGGCGCTGGCGCATGGGCTCCGAAATGACTATATTTCAACAGTTTTGCATTAACAAAGATCTTGTCTTAATAACAATTTTCCCCTGGTCATTTCGTTTTTAAATATATTTTTACACTCTCAAAATGCCACAAGCACACTTGAATTGTTTTATAATTTTAGGATTAAAGTTTCTAAATTCTTCTTTCCCCCAACTAGAAAACTTAATATAGGTAGCATTCACTGTAGTAGCCAATTAACAAAAATAGAAATAAAAAGTATTACATTATGGTATTAAAATGTAACAAAAATAGCTTTAGCTCACAGTTATACCAAAGACAACCTTCCCAGAACAAGCTTTGAAAAGATGCCATTTACATGTCGACATTATTTGTTATAAATTGTTTGAAACCCCTGCAGTGTCTCGGTGCCTCACATTGATCTCAGAGACTGACCCAGCTCTGCTCCAGTTTGTCATGATGTGAACTGTTCATATCTGTAAGTTTAATGCTCTGAATGTTATGTTAATGTCACATGTGTTTGCATGTGTGCAAAGCTTACAAACATCCCTAACCATGCCTTTGTTTTAACAATAGATAATGTTGATGCACAATGAAGGAAGAGCTGCCTCCGACTGACAGGAACTCAATCTTCACACCCAAAATACTCCAAATATCCAAGTGGAAAATTCAATGAGATGCTTAAGGGATGCAGGAGATGAGAAGAAGTGCTTCAGGTTTTGAGGACGAGAAGGGTTATACTGTAAAACAAGAACATGAGAACATTAGAGAACAATAAACCATGAAAAGTGAGAACCCTCTTGCTTTAGACAGTGTGAAGTACAGGTGGATTCAGAAGTTCAAAGGTTGTGATGTTAGGAGTGAGGTGGCATGTATCCCTCTGTACTCTGTACTTGTACTGCACTAAAGAAAATTACCCTCAAACCTCCACTATAAGCCCTGGTCCCTGTGACCCACAGAGAGCCCTAGTCCCAATGTTTCATCTTGTAGATAATGACTTAAAGCATCAGCTGACTGCACTAATGTAGCTGGTGAGATTGTAAACTTAGTCATTCAGCCAACTTCACTTCTTGGTGGAGACATGGGCTGTGTCCAAAACGCTAGGCATCGGGCCGCGTAGGGTGGATATGTAGGCATCGTGACGTCACTTCCTCAAGCGACGGCTATTGCAGGGGTGTCCAAAACCACTTGGCGAGCTCGCCAAGCGTAGGCATCATGACTTCGTCTCTATGGAAACGGCCACTTTTGGAGCAGATATGAAGGATGCATCTGATGTATGCTTCGCTGCCTTCTTTTTGCCAAGTCACGGCCGCGCATGCGCAGAACTCCGTTCGGCATTAACATGTAAACAACAGACTCAGCTCGGAGCTGCTGGAGCTAACATTATGGTAAGCACTGCTATACTTTACTGTGAAGTTATGTCTATAGTAAGTACTGCTTTACTTTACTGTGAAGTTATGTCTATAGTAAGTACTGCTATACTTTACTGTTGAGTTATGAACACGACTGTTATGATAAAACACAGACATAAGTTAGATCTGCCACAGATGTGTGTATTTAACCTTGTTATCTGCTGTGAATAAACTCAGTCCCGAAAAGCTAATGCTACGAGGCTAGCATTGTGTTTTATGTTGTGTTTTATCTTTTAGGGAGAAACAAACCCACTGATTAAATATTAAAGGGCCCATATCACGGTTTTTGACTTTTCTCTGCTTTAAACATGATTACAATGCTATTTGGCCTTCATACACAAGCCCACAGTAGTTTATTCGTTGATTCTGTCAATCTTTTGTAAGAGAACAATCTGTCTCCTTCCCCAGCGTGAGGCACAGAAACGCTCGGGTCCACTTCAGTGACAAAAACCACACTGATGACGCGCATGACCCCGTTTGCTTTGTATTTAAAATAGTTGTTAAATACTTTTGTCAAAACGGGGTAAACAATACACAATTAGTATGCTGTTTTTTGTCAAAAATAATAAAAATAGAAATAAATTAAAAGCCGACGGGAGGTGATTGACGGATCAAAACAGCGAATCAGAGCGCACAGGCTCCGGCTCCCGAGTCCAGCGTCTGTGGTCTGGTCTCGCGGACACCACATAGAGCTGCTGTTTTTATGCTTTTGTCAGCAACTAAAAGTGTTAGGATCACGTCAACTTGAATGAAGTGTGTTATGGGTGTAAATATGTGACACACTATTTGGCCCTAAGAGGAAGAAAGTGGCTCGACTTTTTTCATCTGTTCATCTCATGGATCTATTATAATACCGGTTCATCTGCGACACTTCACTGAGACTGTTGCAGAACTACAGGGACAATGGAACTGGACTTACTCAAAAGCTGATCTGGAAACACGTTATTTCCACGGTAAAAGACGTACCTCGGACCCCCTCGATCTGTAAGTAGTGACGCTAACTCGCTGTATACTTCTGTAAACTAAATAACTAGGGTCTGATTGTGCATCGAGGACATAGGGCTCGATGTGACGGATTGTCATTGTTGGAAAAAGTTTATTCTTATGTATGAAATTACTAAGTACAGGTGATAAACGACAAAAGCGTGATGCTACGTCACCGTGCGGGCGGGGGGAGGCGGGCTCACAGGCAGAGGAGCAGACTCTTCTCTGGATCAGCTCGTTTGAGTCGAGGTGACGTCACCTCTATACAAGAGATGGCTCTAATCTCACAAGCTTTGATTGTTGTGTGGTGTATCATACACATTAATATCACACATGTGTATAGGATTGAGTGTGAAACATGAAGAAAAGCGTGATATAGGACCTTTAAAGCTACACTGAGGAAATAGTCACGTTTTCATGGAAAATCACTCTGCAGCACAGCAGCTATAGTATGCTAACACATGTTTTCTGTATTCATATAAAATAGATTGTGCATATCGTTTTTAATCCCATACTGAGACTGGGAAAACTGTATATATTAGACATATGAAATTATAGAATAGGCCAAGAATAATTATAAAGCCCTTTTCATACAATAGTCTAATAAATAGTAAACACACATTATACAGAGGTTTCGTTTGTCATAAGACATTTGCAGAGGACAAAGTCCCACTTCCACAAACACAGGTTTAAAGTGGTTAGCCATGCTTCTAACTTGATTATTTGTGTATATTTCTATCATATCATTCTTCTGTTTCCCCTGCTGTGAAGCTTGTATCTCTAATATTAAATACTGTAAGGATTTCTGTATTTTATTTTTAACCAGTTTTTTGCAAAGCCCCAAATAAATAGTATTAATTGAATATGAAGTGTAAAAAGAATCCTAAATGTGGCCTGTGTTTTAATGCATGATGTTTGTGTTCTTCTTTTTCAGAGACTTGTGGTGAAATTAAGGTCATAATTTCTCCAGCTTCACGTCCTGCTTCACCTCCATCACCTCCTGCTTCACCTCCATCACCTCCTGCTTCACCTCCATCACCTCCTGCTTCACCTCCATCACCTCCTGCTTCACCGCCATCACCTCCTGCTTCACTGCTGAAAACATTATGAACTACAACAAACTTGTATATAATATTTTCCTTTAATCACCAGTCATGAATAGTTAGAACAGTGGGCTCTGCATCTCTGAAGACATGTAGCAGAAGGAGCAGCAACAGAAGGAGCAACAGGAGGAGTAACAGCAGCAGCAGAAGGAGCAACAGGAGGAGTAACAGCAGCAGCAGAAGGAGCAACAGGAGGAGTAACAGCAGCAGCAGAGGGAGCAACAGGAGGAGTAACAGCAGCAGCAGAAGGAGCAACAGGAGGAGTAACAGCAGCAGCAGAAGGAGCAACAGGAGGAGTAACAGCAGCAGCAGAAGGAGCAACAGGAGGAGTAACAGCAGCAGCAGAGGGAGCAACAGGAGGAGTAACAGCAGCAGCAGAGGGAGCAACAGGAGGAGTAACAGCAGCAGCAGAGGGAGCAACAGGAGGAGTAACAGCTGCAGCAGAGGGAGCAACAGGAGGAGTAACAGCTGCAGCAGAGGGAGCAACAGCAGCAGGAGCAGCAGCAGCAGCAGGAGCAGCAGCAGCAGCAGGAGCAGCAGCAGGAGCAGCAGCAGCAGGAGCAGCAGCAGCAGGAGCAGCAGCAGCAGGAGCAGCAGCAGCAGGAGCAACAGCAGCAGGAGCAACAGCAGCAGGAGCAACAGCAGCAGGAGCAACAGCAGCAGCAGCAGGAGCAGCAGCAGCAGAGTCCTGGGCGTCTGCCTCTGACACAGGTCTCATCGACAGCACTTCACAGAGAACCTGGAAATAAAGAAAACAAAAATCAAACTTGTTGGTTTTATTATGATTTTGTTGTTTGTGTGAAATGTAAAGAGTCAAAGTGAGGTATTATTTACACAACTACATATTTGTCAGCAGTACTTATACTTATACTTATACTTATACTTGAATACATTAAACTCAAATGTGATTAGTAACGGTCTGTTAGCTTTTCAAGAGATATAAAAGTGAATAAGAGCAGTGTCAAACATCTGTGTTCAACTCCATTTTACAGATGTCTGTTAATGTTTCCATGGATGTGTCAGTTATTATTATAGATCCATGGATGTGTCAGTTATTATTATAGATCCATGGATGTGTCAGTTATTATTATAGATCCATGGATGTGTCAGTTATTATTATAGATCCATGGATGTGTCAGTTATTATTATAGATCCATGGATGTGTCAGTTATTATTATAGATCCATGGATGTGTCAGTTATTATTATAGATCCATGGATGTGTCAGTTATTATTATAGATCCATGGATGTGTCAGTTATTATTATAGATCCTTGGATGTGTCAGTTATTATTATAGATCCATGGATGTGTCAGTTATTATTATAGATCCATGGATGTTCCAGTTATTATTATAGATCCATGGATGTGTCAGTTATTATTATAGATAAATGGATGTTCCAGTTATTATTATAGATCCATGGATGTTCCAGTTATTATTATAGATCCATGGATGTGTCAGTTATTATTATAGATCCATGGATGTGTCAGTTATTATTATAGATCCATGGATGTGTCAGTTATTATTATAGATCCATGGATGTGTCAGTTATTATTATAGATCCATGGATGTTCCAGTTATTATTATAGATCCATGGATGTGTCAGTTATTATCATAGATCCATGGATGTTTCAGTTATTATTATAGATCCATGGATGTTCCAGTTATTATTATAGATAAATGGATGTTCCGGTTATTATTATTATAGATAAATGGATGTTCCAGTTATTATTATAGATAAATGGATGTTCCGGTTATTATTATTATAGATAAATGGATGTTCCAGTTATTATTATAGATAAATGGATGTTCCAGTTATTATTATAGATAAATGGATGTTTCTCTCTCATCAGCAAACACACGTTAATACATTTAGGTCTGGTAAAATTACTTTTAAGTGATGCACAAACGAGGGCCATAGCAAATATATAATCCATATCTAATAATCATTTATTGCATATATGTGCATTGTTTACATAAAATATAAAATATAACTTTGTAAAAACTAATGATTACTGCCAATACAATTGTTATAACAGAGAAAGTGTAACAACAAAAGCATCCTCTGTTTTTTCAGAATACGATTGTAAACATCCAGGGGGCTCTCATTACCTGAACCCGTGTTTAGACAGCCTGTTCTGGGCTTCAGCACTGCAGCTAACTGGGCTGTTAGCTTATAGCACCGGAGCTTCAGGCTGGAGGTAAAGTCCGAAAATTTTCCAATTTATCTCCAGACTTCTGATATGACAATAAAGGGGGATATTTCTCGCCTCAAATGATATTAGAATTAACTTTTATGTCCTAATTAAAGCGTATTTTGAACTTTTTACCGTCCATCATGGCCGCCGTGTCCTTCCGCTCCGCTCTGAGTTGTGTAGTCACGTGACGAAGGCAGAAGGCAGCTGCTGTCCAAATCCACCTCAGGTCTCGCCTCCTACCTCGCCTCCTACCTCGCCTGTGGCTACGCAGTCTTCCCTCTGTGCCTACGTATCCACCCTACGCGGCCCGATGCCTAGCGTTTTGGACACAGCCACTGTTTGTATTTTGGGCTGAAGAAACCTTTGTAATTATTATATCAATGACATGTTTTTGTTGTGTTTTTTGCAGATCTACAAAGTCCATCTACAGAATGGGGGTCACCTGTGATCAGTGTGGAAAGACCTGCAGCTCTGCTTCTGAACTAAAGACCCACTACAGAACTCACACTGGAGAAAAACCATACAAGTGTGATCAGTGTGGAACAGGTTTTACTCAAGCAGCCAATCTTGAGCGCCACAGCAGAATCCACACTGGAGAAAAACCCTTCAGCTGTGACGTTTGTGGTCAGAGTTTTAGACATGAGGATACTCTGAAAGATCATCAGAGGATCCACACAGGAGAGAAACCATTTGAGTGTGACCAGTGTGGACAAAAATTTAGGATCAAACAGCTGCTCTCACTACATCAGCATGTCCACACAGGAGAGAGACCTCACCAATGTGACCAGTGTGAAAAGACTTTTACACGTTTATCTAGCCTCACTCAGCACTACAGAATCCACACAGGAGAGAAACCATTCGTCTGTGGAGAATGTGGGAAGGAGTTTGCTGTGATTTCACACTACAAAAGTCATGAGAGACTTCACACTGGAGAAAAACCATTCGTCTGTGGAGACTGTGGGAAGGAGTTTACTCATTTTTCAAACTACAAAAGACATGAGAGAATCCACACTGGAGAAAAACCATTCGTCTGTGGAGACTGTGGGAAGGAGTTTACTCAGTTTTCAAACTACAAAAGACATGAGAGAATCCACACTGGAGAAAAACCATTTGTCTGTGGAGACTGTGGGAAGGAGTTTGCTCGGTCTTCACACTACAAAAGTCATAAAAGAATCCACACTGGAGAAAAACCCTTCAGCTGTGACGTTTGTGATCAGAGTTTTACTCAGAGCAGTTCTCTCAAACGTCATCAGAGGATCCACACTGGGGAGAAACCATTTCTCTGTGAAAAGTGTGGAAAGTCTTTTACTCATAGTAAATCTCTTCGTGGACACAGTAAAACGTGTGAGAAGCAGGTGTGAAGACGCAGCATCTGGAACAAAGTGAAGGAGACAGAGCTGAGGCTGCATCATGTGAACCCAGAGTCAGACTCTACAGGATCACACTTCAGTCTTAACCAGAGGTGTGGACTCGACTCATGTGACTTGGACTCGGGTCAGACTCCAGTCATGAATTTGATGACTTTAGACTCGACTTAGACTTTAATATCAATGACTCTGACTTTCACTTGGACTTTTGCCAATTGACTTGCCTGTCTCTGTGTGGTACATCTCTGTGTGCGTACGTGTATATACATGTGTCCGTATGCGTGTGTGTGCGTCTGTCTCTATGAGTGCGTGATGTGCAGCAGTTCTGTACCTAATTATAGTAAATCTTCATATGAAATAGAATTAAAAACGTCTCATTTTAATAAATACTGTGTTTCATAAAGTCATGTCTGTGTCAGATCTTATCTGTGGTGAAATCAGACACTTTGATCATGTGTGTGACGTGAAACACGTCTGCTGCGTCATTTGCATATTGTCCCCTAGATCCAGGGGTGTCCCAATTCTTAGGGAGAATGTTGTGAGGGCACTCCCCACTGGGAATGCACTGGTACTACGAGACTGTATGACAAAAGCAGTGATTATGTAACTCTGTGAGAGCGACATACTGGAAAGTTCTTTCTCTGAGGAAGCAGGGGCGTAAAAGAGGTGACACAGGGGAATAGTGACAGATGATGAGGGCCATATTTGGTCAGGTGCATTTTACTGGAAGGCAATAAAAACTCCAGTTGTAAGAGACTGGAGGAGATCTCTTCACGGAGCAGGATTGGAAACAACCCTTCCATCGCCTGGCGTTTGAACAGCCAACAACTTCAGGGGAACAATTTAGAAGAGAGGGGTTGTGAAAAAATGTCCCTGCCTCAGCAGGCGAGGCGGCGTGGGCACTGGGTCGTCCCACTCAGGGAACCAGGTCTCAAGAGGCCTCGGGACTCGTGCCTCCAGGCAGTGGGGGCAGTGACAAGACTAGAGGGTGGAAGGAAGCGCACACTTCACCTCTGTGGCTTTTGTCTGCTAAAAGAAAGGAAAGAGTTAACTCAGAGGGAGAACGCCAGTGATTGACAACGGTCTTACTCACAGAGAACTGCTGCTTCACAGCCCCTCACAGAGACTGCTTCACAGCCCCTCACAGAGACCGCTTCACAGCCCCTCACAGAGACTGCTTCACAGCCCCTCACAGAGACTGCTTCACAGACCCTCACAGAGACTGCTTCACAGCCCCTCACAGAGACTGCTTCACAGCCCCTCACAGAGACTGCTTCACAGACCCGGAGGAAGTGGGCTGGGAGGCACAGAAAGTTTGTATTAGCTGTTATTAGTATATTACCATTGTATTTTTGGATACATTTTGCATTTGCTGTGCTTTTTGGAAACTATATAATCATTCCTGCATTAAAATTACATATCCACCAAACCGTTGTCCTGGAGGGCCAACTTCTGGCCACCGAATAATCCACCTGACGAAATACCAAGAGCCGGAAACATCAAGGGCAAACCCAAAATGTGAGGAGGCCGCGGGCAGCAGAAGGAGGAAGAGAGGGGTCTCATATCAGAGCTGAACCACGGAGGAAGACGAGCAAACTCAGAGGAGAGAGTCAGGCTAGTCACCTGTGCAACCCCAGAAACCAGCAGGCCTTAAACCGCGGGGGAAAGACCTGTGGGCTGGCCTGCTAACATACTTATTATTAAGAGTCTGCAGAATCTCCATGGATTTTGCCATCTCCAGAGATAGACATGTCCGTGATTTCATTTCATTTCATTTCATTTCATTTTCAACCCCTTTATTTGTCCATTTCTGGGTCGGGGGGGTGGCAATGAGAGCTGCCACCCAACGCTCATAGCACCAGTCCCTCACTGATCTTCTGCAGGGGGTGAGTCCACAGGAAGATGGCTGCTCCATCAGTTGAGAAACCGCCTTGATCTTTCAGCGGGGGGCTTCAGGCAACGTGGGGTTAAGTGTCTTGCCCAAGGACACAACGACAGCAGTCATCAGTGGGAGCAGTTGGAGTAGGTCCCATGGTGGGAATCGAACTCACAACCTCCAGGCCCAAAGGCCAATGCTCTACGAACTGAGCTACTGTCGCCCCCATGTCCGTGATGTCTTGTTCAAAGGTAGGTAGGTTGATCGTTCTGTGCCTGTCTCGTCTGCCGGAGGGAGGACAGCCGTCTGGGGTCAGCGGCGTCCTCACTGTCGTCAGCCACGTCTTGGTGCCCTACGTGCATGTGGCCGTAACTCGTGGGGTGTTTTTCCCCTTGTTGCCTGTCAGTGACAACTCTGGAACACGGACTTTATGGAAGAGTATTTCAATGCTCAGTGACGCTGCTCCGTGACGCTTCACGCTCAATCCCTTTTCACAGGACTTGAAGGACAATTTGAACTGTGTATAAGTCGGACGTTTACACTATACGCCAATGTGAATTGTAAATATTGTTTTTGTGTTGTAGGAGCTGTTATCCAGTCTGGGGCGGTGGAGGTGTGTGCCACAGGTGTGATCACCCGTTTGGTTTGCAGTGCACTTGATTATTATTTGCTGTAGTAGGGTCAATATACTAATTGACCCAAAAAAATTGCTACATTTTTTTTTTGGTGGTTTTATGTTAGACTGGGTCTAGTCTATAACATACTAAAAGTTGGACAAAATCGGAGTATTGGAAAGTGTCAAAATTTGGAGATGACTATTTCGGTTTACAAGTCATTTTCCATTTACATGTGAAGCACTGACTCGGTCAGTTTTCATGATAAATCAATAAATGTGTATTTTTATCCAGGTTTTCAGGGTCAATCTTTCACATTGAAGGGTTACCAGTGATGCCAAATAAACCCTTATACCACATCAAGGGGTACTCCAACCCCCATTAACCTTGTTGCACCCACACTGATTCACTTACGTCACAGAACTTTTTCAAAACTTTTAACACCTCATCCTCATCTACCACTGGATCCTTTTTCATATTGTCACAATTTCCATCTTGGCAATGCCCGCATGCACTGGTACATTCTAGTCTATGCCTCCTGCAGTTACACCTTGGGGCAGGGGTCTCAAACCGGTTCCAGAAAGGGCCATGTGGGTGCAAGTTTTAGTTCCAACAGCTCCAAACTGAGCAGGAGCACAGATGACTCCACCCATTTCCTCAGGTGAGTCAGGTGAGTAACCTGAAGATTTGAGGAAATGGGTGGAGTCATCTGTGCTCCTGTTCAGTTTAGAGCTGTTGGAAGCAAAACCTGCAGCCACATGGCCCTTTCTGGAAGCGGTTTGAGGCCCCTGTCTTAGGGTATTGCATCCTTCCGAACAGTTGCAATGAATTATCTTAATCAGTGCATTTGGAGCAGGGCTTTTGTCCGTCATCACTGGAACAAGTTTGTCCCCTTTCACCTTCCACCCCCACTCAGATAACACCATTTCATTACTACATATCATCCACTCCATAACCTGGTATTAAGTCCATAAAGAATGAAATTTACAGGCAAAGGCCGTTGGTGGGAGTCGTTCTGGCGTGACGAACGTCTTAGCTCTCGCAACTTTCTTGCAGAGCATATTGTATCTAATAGATGCCAGGAAGTCCTTCTGATCCGCATTGAACAATGCTACCATTTCTTTCCTCGGACCGTTACCATGACAATCGGTCCACAGCCCGTATCACACAAAACCAAGTCGGACATGAACATACTTCACAAATATCTCAAAAGCATTGGTTAAGACACAGACGAGAGTCATATAATAAAACATTTATTAACCTCGCTTGCTCGGTCTGTACAGAGAAACATCAGACCTTGGCATTTTTGCACATTAAGGCCATACAGACCTCGGTTAATAAGCCGTTAATAGTCATCGTTTGACCTCTGTTATTGCCAACAAAGGTTACATTACAAAATATTGAGTTGAATTTTTGTTATTGACCAAATACTTATTTTCCACCATAATTTACAAATAAATTCTTTAAAAATCCTACAATGTGAATTCCTGGATTTTTTTTCACATTCTGTCTCTCACAGTTGAAGTTTACATATGATGAAAATTACAGACCTCTGTCATTATTTTAAGTGGGAGAACTGGCACAATCGGTGGCTGACTAAATACTTTTTTGCCACACTGTATGCATGGAACAGCAAGAGAACAAGAAGATCTGTGTCTTCTCCAATGAGGGTGCTTGATTTGAAAGCGGACTTATTGATTGCTGCCTTCACGATTTCAACGTCGGCATCTGCTTCTGCTTGAATAACGTCACAGCCTTTCTGCCACATTCGTTCCATTCAACAAGAAGTCCTCCTTTTTCCCAGAAAATGTTGTCACCTCTGTAATGTTCACCTTTTTTGGATTCAGCTTTTTACTCTGCAACTGATGAGTCCTTTTATACTTGGTCCAACTTTGTAACCATCAAACACAGCAGTTGCTCTCCCACAATGTTCAACAGTAAATGAGACTAAACCGTTTGCAATCGAGCTGTAGGGACTCCCCTCCTTTCATTTCAGGCGGTGAAGAAGAGATCTTCCTTCCATCTAGTACATTGTGCTCTGTGACTGGAACAGTTTGTGTCACAGCACTGTCTGATTTTGTTCGAACATAATTTCTAAAATCCTCTGCGAGTTTGTTCGTTTGACGTAAGATGCCCTTTCCTTCGAACAAAGACATCGGGTAGAGACAGAGTTCATAGGACATGACATCATCCAGCCTTAGATTACCAGTCTGTGAGACCACAATAAACCTCTGGAATAGGAGTGCTGGGTCAATGATATGATCTGCAGAAACTTTATGTTCTTGCTCGATGCTAGCCTCAAACTCAGTTTGTGACAGGAGAAAACTGATTGTCCATCCATCTTCTGTACAATGTATTTTCCGAGTTCGAAAATGAACATTGACATCCTCATTGGCATCAATCCCTGTGGTAATATTGCGTAACCATTCATCACATGAAAATGGTTTAAAGCTGTCTAGTTGTTCTGCAACTATCCCAAGGTCTGTCTCATCTCTTCTCACCCTTAGGTTGTTCACGTAAGTTCTTGCATGGCGAGGTTGTAAGCGGATGACACAGTGGAAGACATGGACCAAACTGTCCTCTGGTGCTTGGACATCATCAATTTATTAACATAAACAACACAGCTATAGCAAGACATCTATTACCAAGACAATCAGACTTTGGGGGAGTTTCAGTTCTTTTCTCAAGAATCTTATACCCTATAGAACAATTTCATTTGTATACAAAGGTAAGGGGCCCAATTAATAGAAGAAAGTTCTAATTCACCACTGGTACCCATTTTAAAATAATCACCCATACGCCTGTTTGTGAACCTGGGTGGGGGCAATACGGTGTTTGGGGGTAGGGGTTCCCCTAGATATGGTATAAGGGTTTATTTGGCATCACTGGTAACCCTTTCATGTGAAAGATTGACCCTGAAAACCTGGATAAAAATCCAAGATATTTGATTTATCATGAAAACTGACCAAGTTGGTGCTTCTTTAAATGGAAAATGACTTGTAAACCGAAATAAGTCATCTTCGAAATTCGACACTTTCCCATACTCCGATTTTGTCCAACTTTTAGTATGTTAAAGTCTAGACCCAGTCTAAAATAAACCCACAAAAAAACAAATATTTGCAATTTTTTTGGGGTTGTGGGTACGCGGGCAGTATATTGACCCTACTACTGTGTGTGTGCTTTTTATTTGGTGACCCCCAGCCCCACTCAGCTCCTATACATAGTTCCCATGTGACGTCACCGCTGCCGGCCTGTCATTGCGTCCACCATTTTTAAGGGCAAAGTACGCGGCTGCTGCTGCTGCTGTGAACATTGAGACAGATAATTTTCAGGGCTCTTTTTTTTTACCAAAATGGTTTGTTCGTGTTGGGTACCTGGATGTACTAACAGAGCAAATGGGACTGATAAAGTAGGCTTCTATTCTATCCCAAGTGTCCGAGTGCATGAGGGAGATTTCACTAAATCACTGAGTGAGGAACGCCGACGACTGTGGTTAACTAGTGTCAACAGGAAGGATGAACCTACGATATTCTCGAAAATCTGCTCCAGTCACTTCATCACAGTTAGAGCAGTTGTATTCTCAACATATTTTCAATGTAATCAAGTATGTTTTTGTTTATAAGTGTGCACGTTGCTTTAGTTTGTCCCTAGCTATGCTACATGCTAAACCTAATGTCTGGGCAAACAGCTGCTTGAAGAAACTGATGACATGCTGTTTCTGAACTAGGGCTTTGACTTATGCACAAAAATCATTTTCGAAGTTTGTTTGTTCATTAATTTAGATATTCGAATATATACTAATATATTTAATTATAATTTACAAAAACACAAGTGCAAGGAGCTTTCATTGTCTGTTCAGGGAAGCTAGCAGAGCTTGGTAGTATTTGAATCGTGTCATATATTATGACTTTGAATTGATGTAATATTTCCACATTTCTTCTTTTCTGATTCTCAGGTCACCCTTCTAGCATGTATGAACGATCCAACCCAGATTGGGCACCAACATTGAAGCTTGGGGAAATGCTGACCCATACCAAATCCCAAAAAAAACAAGCGGAGATTGAGACTAAACAAAAAAGGTATACACGATACATCCTCTTACTTGAAATACCCCTTGATGAAGGTACTTGTTTTGAAAGTCTAAATAAAAGCATTAACCATTTATGGTTCTTATATTTATTCAAACAGATTTCAGAGAGTGATGAAAAGACAAGAAACAAAAGAGAAGCACCATGCTGCAAGATGTCTTCTTGAACTCCATGACAATTTTCAACATGAGGACCCCATTCCACCAGAGGAACCAGATTGTCACGAAAGTCTAGCAGACACCAGCAATGACAGCGAAGCATCTAACCACTCCATCCCGCGAGTTACTCAAAGTCAAGTAGAGAGTGAAAATCAAAGACTCTTATCAGAAAACATGATGTTACGGGCAGAACTAGAATCTCTGAAATTAACACAGAATAGCTTTCAAGATAACAATGAGAAAGTAAAATACTACACTGGACTGCCAAACTTTGAAACGCTCATGCTACTTTTCAACATTGTTTCACCCTTCCTCTGCAAAAAGAATATGCGCATAGGTGTGTTTGAAAGACTACTGATGACGCTGATGAGACTGAAGTTGAATCTTCCAGTAAAAGACTTGGCATACAGATTCAATACATCAACATCGACCGTTTCAAGAACATTTTTAATTGTTATACATATATTGTTTGTTCGGTTAGGATTTTTGATATATTGGCCAGAAAGAGAAGAACTGAGAAAGACAATGCCTATGGAATTTCAGACTTACTTTTCAAAGAAAACTGCAGTAATAATTGATTGTTTTGAAATATTTATTCAAAGACCAACAG